CAGCAATATTTTGTTTCTGTCTAGGAACAGCCTATGATCTGCAGCCAGGGCACGTGCAGCTCCTGATCTCTCTGGAGAAGACAGAACCCGTTAGCTATGATAAACATTCCAATACTCCTGCCTTCAACCTTTGTTAAACTTTCCAAGTGCCAGCCAGACCTGGGGCTCCACACAGTCTAGACTTTCTCTGCTCCATCAGTGGACAAGTGGCCCATGGAAATACAGAACCAACCCACGTTTTTTCAAGGCCAGGCCAAATCTTCTACTCTTGGTAAATAGAGATAATGGGAATGTGGGGGAGGCCTGGGAAAGGAGAGAGGAGGGAGGGATTATATGTATGCTCATTTCAACCTTTCAGTAATTCTGTCACAGAAAGCTCTCTGGGTTGAAAATTAGCAGGCCTGGGTCCTAATCCTAGCTCTGCCACTAAATTAGCCATGTGCTCTTGGGCTAGTCACTTAGCCTCTCTGTGCCTCAGTTTCCTCATCTGCCCATGTAAATTGGTGGTGGCAGAGTGGTTAAAGAGCTACAACAACTGCCAACCAAAAGGTCAGCCGTTCAAATCCACCAGCCACTCCTTGGAAACCCTATAGGGCAGTTCTACTCTGTCCTATAGAGTCTATAGGGTCACCATGAGTTGGAATCGACTCAATGGCAACGGGTAGATAGTCTCTAAGAAGGATGCAAGCTCAAGGTTTTTATAGTGGTAATCTTAGATCTGTATGACACATTCTAGCTGTTCAAGTACTTCCACATACCTTGTTGTTATGTTGTCAGTTGTCATTGGGGACCCCAATCCATGGATTTTCATTGCCTGATTTTTGGAAGTAGGTCACCAGAACTTTCTTCCTAGGCTGTTATAGTCTGGAAGCTCCACTGTAACCTGTTCAGCATGATAGCAACACATAAGTGTTCACTAACAGATGGTGCCACTGAACTACACTGAACCACCATTACTCCCTACCCATACCTTAAATCTTTCTGAAACCTAATGATATAGGGTATTTGACAGATGACAAAACTAAGGTTCCTAGCAGTTAGGCAATTGTGAGCAGACTGTGGCAGAGCTGAGTGCCAATAATAATTAACTTGCTTTCTAGCTGCTTCCAGCACGCACTGCCCCTCTGGGGGTAGACCTCTTTCTCCAATGAAATGTCAGAGGAAAGGGCACCTGGCAAGTGGCTGAATGCCAAGTAGGCCTTATTGCCCTTGGGTCAGGGGTCAAAGGTCTGGGCTGTTCCCCTTTGGATGTCCTTTTTAACATTTTTGGAGCCCAGCGCAGGGCTCAGCTTAGCCCCAAATTCCAAGTTTTCCTGCTTCTTGGGCTTCAGAGATGGAAGGCAGAGCCCACAGTAATTAAGAGACTGGCTAACCAGGGCAGAAATGAACCTAAACCCAAGTCCCCTGTAGTGGATTGAATTGTGTCCCCCAAAAATATCTGTCAACTTGGCTGGGTCATGATTTCCAGTTTTGTATGATTGTGTACCATTTTGTAATCTGATGTGATTTCCTTATGTGTTGTAAACTCTATCACTATGATGTAACAAGATGTATTAGCAGCAGTTATACTGGTGAGGGCTACAAGATTAGATAGTGTCTTAAGCCAATCTCTTTTAGATATAAAAGAGAGAAGCGAGCAGAGACACCCAGGAACCTCATACCACCAAGAAAGCAGTGCCGGGAGCAGAGCTCATCCTTCGGAACTGAGGTTCCTGCTCAGAGAAGCTCCCAGACCAAAGGAAGATTGATGACATGGTCCTTCCTCCAGAGCCAATAGAGAAAGTGTTCCCCTAAAGCTGATGCCCTGAATTTGGACTTGTAGTCTACTGGACTGTGAGAGAATAAACTTCTCTCTGTTAAAGCCATCCACTTGTGGTATTTCTGTTATAGCACTAGATGACTAAGACAGAATTTGGTGTCAGGAGTGGGATGCTGCTCTAACAGATACCTAAAATGTGGGAGTGGTTTTGAAACTGTGAATGGATAGAGGAGTGGCAGCAGCAGAGAACCTGCAGCGGCAGAGAAGCAGCAATGGCAGAAAACCAGCAGCCCAGTGCGAGACAGCACTAGAGCTGACCCATGAAGCGAGAGAGAGTTGAGTGCCTGTGTGCAGGAGGCTTCCTGGTGGAATGGGGTGCCTTGAGCACTTCTCCGTGAAGCTAGGCTTGGTGATCCACTGAGCAAGACAGCTGAGTGCCTTCTGGTTGAAGTTTACTGGTGGATCGGGGTGCCTCCAGGCACTTATTGGAAGAGCTACAGAGCTTTGGAACAATTGCCCCAGCAGGGGAGATGTGGGCGTGAGACCCGAGGAGCCAAGAGGCCACAGGAAACAGAAGCTGAAGAGACAAGGAACACAGGAAGCTGAGCCGCCTCAATCTCAAAAGGTATGGCCAGGACATCTGGGGTTTCAAAGGGTAGAGCCGTGGCCTCTGGTGTTTCTAAGGGTGGAGTTGTCACTCTGATGGACTAGGAGAATGGTACACCTAAAGCCAAGGGAGCACAGTTGCCATCCCAGTGGGCTTGGAAGGCTGAGCTGAAGCCCAGGGCTGAGGGCTCTCCACTCAGAATCTGGAGAGTGTGGCCAATACCTAGAGTCTGGAGGGTAGGCCTATTGTGTATATGGTCTCAGAAAAGAGAGGATTATTTTCAAGCCTTGAGGGCTAATGTAATGTGTTCTGCTAACTTGCTTGGTGCCTGTTATGTCTTCTTTCCCTGCAATTTCTCCCATTTGTAATGGAAATGTCTAGCTTGTGCCTATTCTGCCATTGTGCCTTTGGAAGCAGATAATCAGCATTCTAGATTTCACAGATGAAGAGGAATTTTTGGATTTTGGACTTGGAGTTAAGTCTTTTGCTATAATACGATGGGGTGAATATGTTTTGCATGTTGCAAGGACATAAATTTTTGGGGGCCAAGGGGTAGAGTGTCATGGATTGAACTGTATCCCCCAAAAATATCTGTCAACTTGGCTGGGTCATGATTCCCAGTATTGTATGATTGTGTACCATTTTGTAATCTGTTGTGATTTCCTTATGTGTTGTAAACTCTATCACTATGATGTAATAAGATGGGTTAGCAGCAGTTATACTGATGTGGTCTACGAGATTAGATACTGTTTAAAGCCAATCTCTTTTGAGATATAAAAGAGGGAAGCAAGCAGAGACACCCAGGAACCTCATACCACCAAAAAAGGAGTGCCGGGAGCAAAGCAAATCCTTTGGACCTGAGGTTCCTGCACAGAGAAGCTCCCAGACCAAAGGAAGATTGATGGCACGGACTTTCCTCCAGAGCCAATATAGAAAGTGTTCCCCTGGAGCTAACACCCTGAATTTGGACTTGTAGCCTACTGGACTGTGAGAGAATAAACTTCTCTCTGTTAAAGCCATCCACTTGTGGTATTTCTGTTATAGCAGCACTAAATGACTAAGACATCCAGTAACTCCTGCTGCAGAACTGGTGCCCACTGGGAGCTTTGGCACTTGTGACAGTGGTGGTGGCCTCTGCTGCCCTGGCTCACAGCACCCCATCCACTTGAGTCAGGGTCAGGGGGTAAGTTTTCCTTCCCTTGACCCTTCCACCCACCCCCTCAGGGTGTTAAAGCCCCACTCTTTGTTCAGGAGATGAAGTCACAGAAGATGAGTTGATGCGTGTGAGAGCTCCAAAATTGAGGTGCTTGGCTCTGTCAAAGTGTCTGGCCTGGGTCTGAGTTCTGACCCCATCTTAAGATCGTGCTTGCTTCCCCAGCAACCATTAACCTTTGAACAGACTTAATCATGCATCTAAGGAAATGTTTTTCTCTGTGATTGAGCTAAGAAGGGATGTCACAGAACTTTCCTAGAGAGTCTTTATGCAAATAGCTCATCAGAAATAGCCTGTGCAAGCCACCCCCAGGAAATGGTTTGCTTGAGAAAGCTATTTTAATAGAATGTCTTCAGAAAGAATGTCCTGTAATTGTCTTGTGATCACCCTGTGAAGCCCCCTATAGTCACGTACCTCTGGAATTTTCAATAATAACCTATTTAAGAAGCCCATATATCTCCTTTAAGCCAATCACCTTAAGATCTCTGCTTTGAATTATCCCACCTCCCACTTCCCTAAATGCTTGAAAACCAACCAGAAAAATTGTATTGTAAGTCCCTGATTCCATTATATGCATATGCCTATTCACCTTCAGTTCCTCGGGGAGTTTGGCTTCCCTTTGTGAGATCTATTGTGTCCCTGGTTCAAACTGTTTCTAGCCTCCAATAAATCTCTTCCCTTTTTTTTTTTTAACAGAGTACGAGTTTTTACTCTTTGACAATGGGGAGAGGCTCCACATTCTGGGATGTCTAAGCACTGAGCCCCATCCACTCCCAACAACTTTCCTGAGTCCCACCTTGTAGATGAGGACTCTGCTGTCCTTAGGCACCTGACCAGACTCAGTCCCCTCCACATTCTTCTCCCTCTTCCCAGCCCCAGCTCTATCAAGTCCTTGGGATCCGAAAAACTGGTTCCACGAATCCACAGCCAGATTCTTTCCATTTCAGGGGTTTCATGGAGAGCTGGTTTCTACTTTGAAGTGGACTGGGGGAAGGATAAACTGCCCTTGGGTTACCAGAGGGAATAAGGAGAGAATAGGAAATATGGAAAAAGCAAGCTGGTTATTATTTTGAGTTAGAATCCTGCCACACATATGACAATCCAGCTTCCGCCCTTCCTGAGTCTCCAGCCAGGCCACGGGTGCTAACAAGCTAGTAGGGCAGTTCCCCAGTGTCTAGGGACACTCTGCTCTCAATTAATTAAAAATACAGAGTTTCTTGGCATCAGGAGAGGATTCCAAAGACTCTAGAAGAAGTGAGCCCTGGACAGCCCTCTTACTCTCATGGGGCACACAGATCCCAACTTCAAACCCCAGGTTTATACTCCCCTTGTGGGAGAGAAGGAACTGAGGCATGCAGGGTAAACACCATGCTATGAATGCTGTGTTTGCTATGGGCATGGCTATTGACTCCAGGGGCCTTATCATTGAGCCCTCAGACTGGGCTGGGCAGGGTAGGTCTGAGAGGAAAGGACATTCTATTTCCACTGCCCTGTGGGAGAGAAGAAAGGAGGGAGCAAGCAAGGCCAGGACAGAGTGAGAAAGAAGCTGCTGGGTTGGCCCACAATGAAAACACCCATTCTTTTGCTGCTGGTGCTCCTGGATCTGGGACAGGCCCAAGGGTCACTTCACAGGTGAGGTCATGTCTCCAGTACCATGTCCAACTGGGGTAGCCCCAACATGCCTCCCCAAGCTCAGGGCTGCCCTGGGTGAGGAACGCTGGTGGGGAAATTAGAAGGAATTGAAGACTTTTATGAATCCATAGAAAAGGTTCACAAGGCTTTGTCTGTGGCCTTAATCACTAGTCCATGACAAGTCACCCTTCTGCCCCCCATCTCCAATGAAGGTGCCTGCTCAAGTCCCTGGGAGCTTCTCATTTTGATAAAGAGCAGGAACTGCAGTTGTGGTTTGTAGCTCCAAGCACCCAAGTACTTCTCAAAGGGACTTACCATCCCTGTCCTGAAGAGTTTATCTGTCCCTTTAAATCAGAGCTAGTTGGTCAGCCTTCATGTGGGTTCATGTAAAACTACAGAGCATCCCACATCGCCCATTGTCTTTGTTGGTGGTGGTGGCGGTGGTTGCTGTTGAGTCAGTTCCAACTCACAGCAGCCCTATGTGTTACAGAGTAGAACTACTCTGCTCCAGAGGGTTTTCTTGGCCGTAATTTTAATGGAGGGTGGTCCCTGGGTGGTGTAAACGGTTAAGCACTCTACTAATAGCTGAAAAGTTGGTGTTTCAAATCCACTCAGAGGTGCCTCGGGAGATAGGCCTAGTGATCTGCTTCTGAAAGGTCACAGCTTGGAAAACCCTATGGAGCAGAGTAGTTCTACTATGCACACATGGGTCGCTCTGAGTCTGAATCGACTTGACAACCACCACCACCAACAACAACAATCTTAACAGAAGCAGATCACCAGGCACCGCTGGGTGAGTTCAAACGAGCAACCTTCAGGTTAGCAGTTGAGCACAAACCGTTTGCCCCGTTGTCCCAGAAGATCTTAAAGAGCCCATCTCCAGGATGGAAGCCCATCTCAACTCTAAGATTCTGAGAGTCTATGGGCTTGGCATGCTGCCTTCCAGATCTCCTGTGTAATCCTCTAGTTGTTAACCTATAGGAAAATGGGGATGGAAAAGAGAAGGGGTACAGAGGGAGGCAGAAGTGCCTACCTCCTCACGTGGCCTTTGTCCTCAGGGTGCCCCTCAGGCGACACCAGTCCCTCCGGAAGAAGCTGAGGGAACGGGGCCAACTCTCTGAGTTCTGGAAATCCCAGAATTTGGACATGATCCAGTTCACTGAGACCTGCACAAGGGACCAGAGTGCCGACGAGCCCCTCATCAACTACCTGGATGTGAGGACCCAGGGGGAGGGGCTGTGGAGTGGCAGGGAGAGGGGAGGAAGGCTCAGCCTCAGGGCATGGCCAATGTCGGGATCAGCAGTGTTAAAGGCCATCCTGGGTCATCCTCTGGATCGCTATGGACTCTATTATGACTTGGCTGAGCAAGACTTGCCCCAAATGTGTAGAGTTCCCTGTGGGAGGAAAGGAATCAAAAGGACAAACATGTCAAACTGAACGACCCTGTTTCAACTTCCAACTGGGAAACTTACTAGCTGCGTGTCCTTAGGAAAAATACTTAATCTCTCCCAGTCCCAGTTCCTTGATTTGTAAAATGGAGGTGTTACTTCCTCCTCCACCTTGTTCACAATACTATTATAAGGATTGGGATAATATAAGTAAGAGCAGAAGTAGCTGGGGCCATGATTTGACTTCCTCCCATATGGCCCTTCCTTTGCTCCTTTTGCCTTTTATTTCCCAGCCTCTCCACTTCCCAGGCTCTGCAAGGTCTTGTCTGGGATGCCGCAGCTCTAGCCCCTGGGTTTTCTCCCTTGCCCTTCCCCACCACTCACACCCACAGCCTCCCCCTTTCTCTCCCTTCCTTGTAGACGGAATACTTCGGCACTGTCTCCATTGGCTCCCCAGCGCAGAACTTCACTGTCATCTTCGACACAGGCTCTTCCAATCTCTGGGTTCCTTCAATGTACTGCAGCAGCCAGGCCTGCCGTAAGGGAAACCAGGAGCCCCTTTGGGGAATGAATGGGGCCAGTTCTGGGAGGATGGGGGCTTGGGTTCCAGAGACTGGCCATCTCTGCTGCACCAGCTTCCCCTCTCCATCATGACTCTGCCCTGGAACTGCCTACAGCAGGAACAGGACCGGGCCATCGAGGGAGCTAAAATATGGCTGCTCTCCAAGCAAGCAACTTTCATACTGATCAGAATTAATAGGGGGAAACTTGGCCATTGAAAATAGAAATCTTTGACTACATGACGACTCACTCATTTTGAAACATCCAAAAGAATATGGTGGAAAGTTCCATTCAGTTGGCTATTTCAGGGCAAGCATGGGGGTTGGGTTCTAGTGCAGACTGTTCACCTGCCTCAAGGAGGCTTGTGGCCTACCTGCCAGTGCATCAGAGGTGGGGCTGGTGGGGCAGAAGTACCAAGTCCCACAACGGCATGGATGGATCCATTTGGACCAAGTAACTCAGAGGTCTTGGCAAGGACTGGAAAAGGAAAAGCTAAGGAAAGAGGTCTTGGTGTATGCAGGACAAGCTCCAGAGGCAGAATGTCTCAGGAAACCCCAAAGTTAGGAGTCCATGAGAGAGCAGTTGGGAACAATTTCCTGGAATGGCCATTGTTTATCCTTGAGTTCCTTTGGAAGGCCGACCCACTTTGGCTGGCAGAGATTGCTGCTGGCGTCTGATAAAGGGTACTTATCTTGGTGTGCCTGAGGAGGTCATATGGGCGATCACATTTGCCCACGGACAGCTGTTTGATCCCCACCTGTAGCTAGAGGGTAACTCTCTTAATTTCTCAGTGCTGTTGTATCAGAAATAACTCAAGTGAGTGGCTTTAAAGAACAGAAATTTATTTTCTCACAATTCAGGAAACTAGAAGTCTGAATATAGGGAATATTCTCTCTCTGTCGGCTCTGGGGGAAGATGCTTGTCTCTTTCCACTTCTGTAGCCCTGGTGATCCTTGGCGATCCTCACGTGGCACCTGTCTCCCCCAGTTTGCACCTCCTTCTGTGTCTAATCTGCTCTTTATAACTCAGAAGTGATTAGATTTAGGACACACCCTACACCACTCTGGCCTCATTAACACAACAAAGAAAACCTTCTTCCCGAATGGGATTGCATCCACAGGAATAGAGGGTAGGATTCTAGAATTTATTTTACGGGCACACAATTCAATCCATAACGTAATGTAGTAGCCCACTGTGGGTGACATGGCAGGCCTTTCTAGAGTCCCCCACTCGATATTGGGAGTTGAAGGAAGAGACCTGCATCTGTGGGGCTGAGGGCATTGGGGCAGGGGTGAAGGCAGTGACTTGATGGCCTAGGCAAAAGCAGCACCCTTGTTTTCCAGAAACCCACCCCAGGTTCCACCCTTCCCAGTCCAGCACATACAGCAGCCTGGGGAGTCCTTTCTCCATTTCTTATGGGACCGGGAGCTTGTCTGGAATCATTGGAACCGACCAAGTCACTGTGAGTGCAATTCCTTCATCTTTTCTCTCTTGGCCTGAAACTTGGGAATAAGAACACAGCTCAGAGCTCAGAGGAGAGCTGTTTCAGGTGGCCACAAGAAGAGGAAATGGAAAAAGTGACATTTGGGGTGGGGCTTGCTTCTAGGGAACCAGAAGCCTGGCCAGGCAGGGGGAGCAGCATTCCCAGCCTAAGATTGTAGCAGTCTGTCAGTCTGCTCAGTGCCCGGGACCCTAGAAAGGTAGCTCAGGGGGATTCCGCAGGCAAATAGGGCACATGGCAGAAAACCAGGTGGCAGAGTTCACAGCTGGATCTTCAGTCCCAGGAGCACTGAGGGATAAGACCAGGCCTCCATCTTGAAGGATGAAGAAGTCCAAGCCAGGAGTTAAGGCGGGAATTTACAAGGTATGAGGTGGGAGTCAAGGCCCCATCAGCACTGAACTCAGTGCTGAGCTCGTGAGCTGCTCCGTAAACTCCCTCTGACCAAAGGTGCTGGGGGTCTCGGAAGTGCAGGAGTTAGATGAATGTGGGAACAAAACCAGGAGAGTCCTGGTCCTGCCTGAGGCACTTAATCCAGGTCTACAGCCAGCAGCACGGGCCTAGGCCTTTGGGGAAACAGAGACCCACCCACTCCTGATGAGCATTGCTCCAGTTCTGGGGTGTTCTGGAGGCCAGCAGGCCCAGCTTTCACCAACATCCCTTCAAAGTTGGGGAGGAGGGGAGGACATATTATTGAGTGAAAAAATACCAGGAACAGAACAACGCTAAGTAAAAAATATAATGTAAGGATAAAACAATACATTATTTTCTATTGAAACATATATACAATATGTACAAATAACATTTTAGAAGGGTACATCCCAAGCTGATCATTGTAATTACCTCTGGGAAGCAGGAGAGGGACAGAAATTGGCCTGGAAAGGGGAATGGTAGCCTTTAGCTCATGGCTATCTGCTGACCCACCTGGTTGGTGTGGGCAGCAAGGCCACAGCTTTTCCAGCTCCAGCTGACTCCCCCTGCAGTTTTCCTGACTTCTGGGCAAGGTGCATGTCTAGCTCCGGACAAGCAGTACCAGCTTCTGCTGCAAGACACCCCCATCATTGAAGTTGGAGGCTTGGGAATGCTAAGAAAACAAATGTGGGTTCCAGTCCACCCTCAACCTCATATTTGCCTGTCCTTCTCCTACCTGACATCTGTCTTCCCTTTCAGACTGCCAAAACTGTAGACGTCAGTCTATAGCACCAGAACAGAAACAATAATCTCAAGTATACTGTTTAGCACCTACAAAGGCGTATAATCAAATATCTACAATATATTCTTTTTTATATTTAGCTCTTAATGGTTCTGCTTCGCTTATCAAACTCTGACTTATAGAGATAATGAAGGGATGACATGCCAAAATTTGTGGGATGCAACTAATGCAGTCTTTAAAGGCACAGTTATAGCCTGAAATGAATATACTAGTAATCAGTAATTTCTGGGGATGGAAACCTTTGTGGATCTGCATTTCCCTTCACCTTTTAGCTACTATTGTTGTTCCTCAGGAGTCCCCAGGTGGCACAAATGGTAAAGTGCTTGGCTACTAACCAAAAGGTTGGTGGTTCAAATCCACCCAGAGATGCCTCAGAAGAAAGGCCTGGTGATCTACCCAAAAAAAATCAGCCTCTGAAAACCCTATGGAGCACAATTCTACTCCAACACACACGGGTAAAAGTTTTTGAAACAATCACAAAAACCACTAATCGTAAGTGAAAAAATTGATATTGGACTACATTACAATTCAGGTCTTCATTAAGAGAGTAAAAATACCAGTCAGAGTCTGGAAGAAGATATTTGCAATGCATATAGGTGGCGCAGTGGTTAAGAGCCACAGCCACTAACCAAAAGTTCAGCAGTTTGAATCCACCAGCCACTCCTTGGAAACTGTGGGGCAGTTCTATTCTGTCCTATAGGGTCACTATGAGTCAGAATCAACTCAATGGCAATGAGTTTGTTTTTTTTGGTATGTCCAACTTGATTCCAGAATGTATAAAAACTTTTACAAATAATAAGAAATGCAGACAACCCACTCCGCAAAAGAGAATATCCAAATGTCTGTTTTCATTAGTTATCAGGAAATACAAATTAAAACCACAGTATAACCCACTACATATTCACCAGAATGACTAAAATGGAAAAGACAGGTAATACTAAGTGTTGGTGATCTGGAACAACTGAAACTCTCAAAACACTGGGACAGGCAGTGTCACTTGGTACAATGATCTGGGAAAACTGTTCGGCAGTATTTACTCAAGCTGAACACTTGCATACACTATGATCTAGCAATTTCACTCCTAGGTATACGTCTAACAGAAATATGTACATTATGTTCACCACAGAAAATGTACAAGCCACACTTAGCAATAGTCATATCAGGAAACAACCCAAATATCCATCAATGATAGAACAGATAAGTAAATGATGATAGCTCAGACCACAAAATACTAATGATAATAAATAAATTACAACAGCGGAGCATGTAATAAGCATAATGGTGAGGGAAAGAAACCAGACAGAGAAGACTTCATACCATATTATTCCATTTATACAAAATTCAAAAATAGGCAAAATCAACATATGCTCTTAGAAGTCAGGAGACTGGGTACTCTTGAGGAGGCGTGCAATGATTAGAAGGGTGCAGGAAAGCCTTCTGGGTTTTGTAATGTGTTATTTCTTGACTTGGGAGCTGGTTACATGAGTGTGTACAGTTTGTAAACATTCATTGAACTGTAGTTATTATGCTTTCTGTGTGTATATTATAGTTCAATTAGTAAGTTCACATTTAAAAGAAGTACAGTGGATGGAAATATGGCCAAAATCTTTGTGCTCATTTAATCCAGGAAAATGGAAAGAGGGAAGAATTAGCTTTAGGGCAGAGGGAGAATCCAGGAATCCTAGACCCTTTCCCAGCAATTTCCCTGTGTAGTTCTCCATGGCTTTCTCCCGTCAGGTGGGAAGACTGACGGTGGTCAACCAACAGTTCGGAGAGAGTGTCAAGGAGCCAGGCCAGACCTTCGTGGATGCAGCATTTGATGGAATTCTCGGCCTGGGATATCCCTCCTTGGCTGTCGGAGGAGTGACCCCAGTGTTTGACAACATGATGGCCCAGAATGTGGTGGATCTGCCGATATTTTCTGTCTACATGAGCAGGTAAGGCCCGGCAAGCCCGCTGGGTTATAGTTAGTTATTACTGCAGGGAGACAACATGGCGCAGCTGAAAGAGCACTGATCTTAGCAGTCAAAGGACCTGGGCTGAAGCTCTTCGCTGGCCTTTCACTGTGTGACAACCTCCGTGAATGTTGAGGAAATGGGGGTTTACCTCTTAGAGGTGGAGTGAAAAGCACTTCATAAACTGTTCAACACTGAGCTAATTTAAGGACTCTCTGGGATTGGTTACTCATTTATCCAGTCAATAAACATTTATCAAGCTCCTATTATGTGCTAAACACGATGCTAGCTAGGCCCTGGGAATGCAAGAAAATGAGAGGGACATAGTCACTGCCTTCAAGAAGTTTAATTCCAGTGGAGGGAGGCAGAAAAAATTAGAGGTAAGATAACAATAAAATAATTACATGTACATTTTATAACAACAAAGTGAAGAGACAACCTATGAAATGGGAGAAAATATTTAGGAGCCTTATGTCTAAAAAAGGTTTAATATCCAGAATATCTAAGGAACTCCTACAACTCAGCAACAAAAACAAACAACCCAATCAAAAAATGGGCAAAGAACTTGAATAGACATTTCACCAAAGAAGACATTAAATGAATAATTTCTTTCATAAGGATCATCACAAAGCTGGTCCTCACGGAGGAGGTTAAAGATGTCCTAAATTTCCCACTTTTCCAAGTTGCTCTATCACTCTGTCATCTCTAACATCAACTACCTCACCTCCCTTCAGTATTTTCCCTCCCATCTTTGGGTTCCCTAATTCGCTGCAATGTCTCACAAAACTCACAGAACCATATAAAGGAAATGGCTCACGGGGTTGTGGAGGCTGGCAAGTCCCAAATTTGTGGCTCAGGCATTGGCTTCTCCCAACACACATGGCTGCAGGGGCTGGCGAACCCAAACCAACAATTCAGACCACAGGCTGCTGGCTCACAAGGCTGCAGAAGCTGGCGAATCAGGTCACATGATAGGCCGCTGGCCCAAGGGGCTATGGAGGCTGGCGAATCTCAGAATCAGCAGGTCAGACAGCCGGCTCTGGCTCAAGTCCCAAGAACTGGAGGTCAATTGATCATGAACTAATGCGAGAGCCAGATGTAGAGAGAGAGAGCCCCGCCAGGACACACACATATATACCTTAGATGCAGGCCACACCCCAGCGAAGGGCACAACTTGACTAAGGGTGGGACTTGAGCCACGCCCTCCTGCAAGGCTGCAGCCCAAGACATGCCCTATACCAATTTGGACTCATCAACATGTAGAGGTCAGGACCCACAACACATAAAATGGAGGACAACCACACAATACTGGGAATCATGGCCTAGCCAAGGTGACACATAACCCCAACCATCACAGGTTCCATACACCTTTATCTGCATAGTCCCACTTAATCACTGTGTGAGTCACAAAGACCACGACTAGAAGGGCCATATTAAGTACTTCATTACCCTGCAGACATACAGGACTGAGAAGGAGAAAATGTAGAACAAAATTCAAATTCACAAAAAAAAGACCAGACTTAACTGGTCTGGCAGAGACTGGAGGAACTCCTGAAACTATGGCCCCTGGACACCCTTCTAACTCAGAATCAAAGCTACTCCCGAAGTCCACCTTTTAGCCAAAGATTAGACAGGCCTATAAAACAAACAATAACACATGTGAGGAATGTGCTTCTTAGTTCAATCAAGCATATGAGACCAAATGGGCAACATCTGCCCGAAAGCAAAGTGCAAGGAGGCAGGAAGGGACAGAAAAATTGGACAAATGGACACAGGGAACCTGGGGCATAAGGGAAAGGGAAAGACTGCTGACACATTGCGGGGATTGCAATCAATATCAGAAAACAATTTGTGTATAAACTTTTGAATGAGAAAATACTTAGCACTGTAAACTTTCTCCTGAAGCACAACAAAATATATATATAAAAAGAAGACGTACAAATGTCCAACACACACATGAAAAATGCTTAACATCTTTAGTCATTATCAAAAAAAATCCAAACCTGTTGCTGTCAAGTCAATTCCTGGCGACCATATAGGACAGGGTAGAACTGCCCCATAGAGTTTCCAAGAAGCATCTGGATTCAAACTGTTGACCTTTTCGGTTAGCAGCCATAGCTCTTAACCATTACACCACCAGGGTTTTCTCTTTAATCGTTAGGGAGATGCAAATCAAAACCACAATGAAATTCCACTTCACCCCTACTAAAACTGTTGCCATCAAGTCAATTCTGACTCATGGTGACTCCATGTGTGTCAGAGGAGAACTTTGCTTCGTAGAATTTTCAATGGCTGATTTTTTGCCCATCACCAAAAATAACAAGTGTCTACTGTCTAGAAAGTGATCCTCTCCTCCTGTTCCCTCCCATCCCTGGTAACCATCAAAGAACATTGCTTTCTTTGTGTATATCTATTCTTGACTTTTTCTGTCAATGGCTGATTTTTTGGAAGTAGATCACCAGGCCTTTCTTCTGAGGTGCCTCTGGATCAACTGGAATCTCCAATCTTTTGGTTATCAGGCGAATGCATTAGCTTTTTGCACCCAGGGACTCCTCACCCCTACTAGGATGGCTATTATCACAAAAACTAAAAACAGCATGTGTTGGCAAGGATGCAGAGAAACTGGAACCCTCATACATTTTGATGGGAAAGTAAAACGATGCAACTCCTGTGGAAAACAGCTTGATGGTTCCTCAAAAGTTAAACAAAGATTACCATATGAGCCAGCAATTCCATTCCTAGGTATATACCCCAAACACTTGAAAGCAGGCACTCAAATAGATACTTGTACACCAATATTCATTACAGCACTATTCACAATAGTCAAAAGGTGGAAACAACCCAAATGTCCATCAACAAATGAATGGATGAACAAGATGAGGTATATACATACAATGGAATAGCAAGGGCTTTGCACTCAGACAGACCTGGATTTAAATCCTACCACCTGGTTTACTTCATCTCTCTGATCCTCAGTTTCCTCTGATGGATATTAAGCTGGTGAGGAAATTTAATAAGACTAGGTAGGTAAAATTCCTAGCATAGTGCTTTGCACAAAGTCAATCAACTTAGTTCCTTTATCCCCTCAGAGATCCAGTTCCCTTCGTCTTTACTACTCTGCGTTGCAGCACCTTAAGTTCTGTATTTTTCTGATCCTTTTTCTCCTGAAGATGAATCCATTGTCTATCCTGTCTCCCCAGGAACTTGCTAGATGCCAGGACATAATCTTAGAAATCAATGCCAGTAAAAATTAATAAATATTCAAGCTCTAAGAAATCATGCCTGCTTTCAAATTAGCTTCTCTGCCTTAACAAAAAGGAGTGAGCAATATGGAAACTGCAGGCATCACCACAGCCATAGTGGGGAAGATACTTTGCGACAAGGTATCTTTTGGCGGGTGTTTCAAGCCACACAGTGTGTGCGTACACCCAGGATGGTCCTGGCCTTGGTTCTTCATGAGTTCTGCCTAGACTTGTTGTCCCCATCTCCTACCTCACTAGCACTCTCATCCCATAAACTGGAAGACACTAACAAATCGGTGAGCAGTGTTGTCTCTGCCCTCATGCCAAAATCAAGTGCTGTAGCTGGAAGCCTTGGTCTTGGAGCCCAGGCTGAGATTTCTGCCCCTCTAGGTACTTGCTGTGAGTAACCAGACCAAGAAGCAAAGGGTCCCAGCTGAGGCTCGCCCCTGGAGTTTTCCCACGGCCCCTCCTTGACAATCTGCCTTTCTTCCCACATAGCAACCCAGAAGGTGGCATGGGAAGCGAGCTCATTTTTGGAGGCTATGACATTTCCCATTTCTCTGGGAGCCTGAATTGGGTTCCAGTCACCAAGCAAGGCTACTGGCAGATTGCACTGGACAAGTGAGTATCCTCCACAAGGTGGTTATGGTATGAAGGAAGAACTCAGATTGAATGAACTGAATTGATTTGAATGAAACTTTTGGTTATAAGGACAGCATGTGGCGAGTTCTCAGCATGAAGTCAGAGGTACGGAGGGGCTGAGCAAAGGTGCAGTACCCAGAGAGGCAGACACACAGTACCACCTCTCAGCTTCCTTCCTGCACATGTGCACCGTCAGCTTCACACAGCACATACCAACAAGCAGCCTACTACTCTTTGCTCATTCATTCATTCGATATTAATTAAACACACAAGACAAAGCCTGAGTGACAAGAGGAATGCCAGGGAGAATTGGACTCAGATTTTGCCCTCAGGAAGCTTTTATGGAAGTTGAGGCTTGCACACAGATCACCACCATGTAAGATCAAAGGTGGCCAGTGCTCCAAAAGAGGGGCCACCAGAGTGTCCAGCAGTCAGGCTAAGACAGCTTCTGTCTGAAGAACCCCACAGGGCTTTCTGGAGGGGGTGACGTTGAAATTGACCTTGACACATATATAATATCTGAACATGGAGCAATTGGGGAAGACTAGATACTTGCCATATGCCTAGCACTGTACTATACGATGCAGGAATTTAATGAAATGTTATTCAAGTTTCCATTCGCCCAAGCATAAGTTCCTACAAGGTGCCAGGCATGAGCCAGGCACTAGGGATGCAAAAGTAAAAAAGCCTCAATGCTCACTGTCTACTGTTGGTTTTTCAAATTGTAGGGATTTACCCACTCATGGGTCATGACATCATTTTAAGGGATTATGGCCTGCATTTTTTAATGAAATGGTATAAAATGGAAAACAACACATATTAAAGTTAAGCATTGTTTCATGAAATTTTTGCTTCAAATGTATGTGTGGGGGTGTGTGTCTTGGGTCAAGAAGTAAATGTTTTTCTCATTATGGATCTGAGTCAAAAAACTGAGAAACACTTACCCGGTGGGAGAGACCAAAATGGAAACCATTCATGATGCTTCAGTGACTGATGGGAGCCCAGCAGAGAAGGAGAGCTGCAGGAGAGCAGGAGAGGCTTCTGGAGTGCTGACAATGCCCCCTTTTCCCTCAGCATCCAGGTAGGGGGCACCGTGATGTTCTGCTCTGAGGGCTGCCAGGCCATTGTGGACACGGGGACCTCCCTCATCACAGGCCCCTCGAACAGCATCAAACAGCTGCAAAGTGCCATCGGGGCTGAGCCCATGGATGGAGAAGTGAGTGTCTGCTCGGTGTGGAGAGGGGCAGGAGCAGGACAGCTAGGCCCTCTCTTGGGAGATGGGAAGCCTCTAAACAGATCCTCTGTGCTTTGTTTTAGTATGTTGTGGAGTGTGTCAACCTCAATGTCATGCCGGATGTCACCTTCACCATCAACGGAGTCCCCTACACCCTCAGTCCAACTGCCTACACCCTGCTGGTAGGAACTGTTTCCTGATTCTGCAAGTCACAGGGCCTTCCCCACATGCCTGCCACTTCCCCTCATCAAACAGTCGCCTGCACTCAGGCTGCATTGACCCCAACGCCCCTCCTACTTCAGCCTGCTCTGATGTGGAGTTCCCTCTAGGAGGGACACAGCTGACTGTGGTGTAAAGACCACTGACTGGTTCTTTCCAGTAGTGTCCTGCAGCAGAGAACTGTGGGCAAGCCACTCTCAGTGAGGTTTCCTGACATTGCCATATAGGACTTCTCCACTGATCAAGTTTAATCCCCTCAACCACCAAGTCAGACTGGAAACATTATTATCCCATTTCATAGATGAGAATATTGAGACTCACAGAGTTAAGTAAATGGTTCAGGAAGTGAGTTGCTCGGGGACATAGAATAAGGTTATATGTTTTTTAACATTCTCCCCAAACGAGAAAATGTCTTTTGTTGCAGTAGATTAACAAGTTTGGAGGGCAAGTAGTCCCTGGCATTTTGGAAACCTATGGTCACTTCACACCACAGTTGGCCCAGATTTTCAGTATCACAGTTCTTTGGCAACATATTTAAGAGTCGCCCACAGCATCAGGGTGACTGTAACAAACAGAATAGAGACATTAGCCCCACCCATCACACATTGGTCTTCATTAACCCCTTCCCAAAGCCACCCCCAATACAGAGAGACAATCCAAGTAAAAACAAAAGTTTAGCTTTAAAGCACAGCTCCATGGCAAGTCTGCTAAGCTCCTCCAACATAGGAATTCTGGAGCAGCCACTGCAAACACCATACCCAGAAATAGCCTCCCTGAGGACAAGCTGGGCATTCAGATGGAGTCAGGTCCATTGGTCTACACACCCATTACCATGCCACCATCCCACTCCCACCACCCTCACCCCATGTGAGTCCTGCTCACCCCCATGCCTTCCGTGCTCTCAACATGGTACCATTGTCCTTTCCTGCCAGCACATCTCAGCTAGAGTCACCCGGTCCAGCAAAGATGCTATAATAACTTTTAGCTTTTATCCGCTTCCTCCTAAGAAGCTTCCTTAGGCCCTGTGTGAATTCCCTTTCCCAACAACCAACAACCTTACATCTCATACGGTTGTTGGAAAAACCACACCTGCCTGGTAGACCCTAAGTCTTCGTCAAAGAAACAAAAAGGAGGAGGAGCATCAAACTCTTCTCATAGAACAGGATGCCTACTTGCCTTCCATCTAAAAGGGGCCACTCAGATGATTCTTCCCAGAACATCCACACGAAAATAACACTGGCTAGCTACTTTTAGAACAGTTTCTCTTCCTTAAAAAAAAAATTAAACTGAGTTTCATAGAAACTAGTGAAACTGAGATTTAAACCAAGGTCTTCTAATGCCAGTTTTTGTTGCTCATTCAACCACGCAACAAGGCTTCAGCTTTCCCAATTTTAAAATGGGGGAGGAGTGTATAACAGGTGAATGGTTTTCAAAATTGTGGTACGTAGAAGCCCAGACTCACATGCATGAACTTGTGCAAACACACACTTTATTGAGTAAACTGGGATAGAAGTGTATAAAGTGCGAGGAAGAACTAACCAGCCAAAATTGTAAAACAGCCATCCAAGGGCATTCAGGGCCGACAGCCACCACTACAAAGGAGCACCTCTAGGCAGCACTACTTCCTTCTTCCTCTGTATGTCACTTATAAGGCTCTTTCCAACCCCAGGACTCCACAGATGGAATGAACTTCTGCAGCAGTGGCTTTCAAGGCCTTGACATCCAGCCTCCAGCTGGGCCCCTCTGGATCCTGGGAGACGTCTTCATCAGACAATTTTACTCAGTCTTTGACCGTGGGAATAACCAAGTTGGGCTGGCCCCAGCAGTTCCCTAAGGAGGGGCCTGTGTCTGCTTGCCTGCCTGACACTGCTTGGAAATCCAGCTGGGCCTGTTAGGTTGGGACACCCTTCACATCTGTCAAAAACTCATTGTGCACAGACTACAGTTGCTCCTGAGCTACAACTTGAACTTGGACCAAACAGAACATGAGAACACACACATACACAATACACATACCCACACACATTCACACATACCACATCCATCATCATCACGATAGAATGAATTGTGTGCCCATATTTTGCATTGCTTTTTGTTAACTTTGTAATATATACATCTCCAGCATATACACAAGCGGGAATTGTTGCTGTTAGCTGCTTTCAACTCACAGTGACCTCATGCACAATGGAACAAAATGCTGACTGGTTCTGCGTTATCCTCATATTTGGTTGTGGATCAGACAACGTTCTGTTGTGATCCACAGGGTTTTTTGCCTAATTTTTGGAAGTAGATGGCCAGACCTTTCTTCCTAGTTCATCTCTGTCCGGAAGCTCTGGTGAAACCTGTTCAGAATCATAGCAACACACAAGCCTCCACTGATAGATGGGCGGTGGCTGCGCATGAGGTGCATTGGCCAGAATCAAACCCGGTCTCCCGCACGGAAGGCAAGAGTTCTACCACTGACCCACCAATGCTTCATCAACAGAGATTATAGTACCATAAATCCTTAGGCACTCTACCTAGCTTTAACAACCCCTCAATATGTGGCCAGGCCTGTTTTATTTACACTGTCACCCACTCCTCTCCCCAGCCATAAACACTGGATTATGCTGAAGCAAATTTCAAGTATCATATCATTTTCTCCATAAATACTTCTAATTTCTTTAAAATGCACTCAGTTTGCAAATGTCTCTTATTGTCTCATAAATGTTTGGTTGTTTTTACCGTTGGCTTGTTGGAATCAGGATTCAAACAAGATCCACAAATTACATTTATTCCAAAAGTCTCTTAAATGTCTTTTAATCTATAGGGTTTACCACATTCTGAATTTTGCTGATTGAAATCCAGAGGTGTCATTTAATGCGATTCTCTGAGCTCTTATTTCCTTTAAGGAGCCCTGGTGGCACAGTGGTTAAGTGCTCAGCTGTTAACTGAAAGGTCAGAGGTTAGAACCCACCAGCCCCTCTGCAGGAGAAAGATGTGACAGTCTGCTTCTGTAAAGATTTACAGCCCTGGAAAGTCTATGGGGCAGTTCTACCCGGTCCTATACGGTTGCTATGTGTCAGCACTGACTCGATGGCAATGGATTTGGTTTGGTTTTATTTCCTTTAAAACGGTAGTTAAATCTAAACCTGTTGCTGTCATGTCAGTTCTGACTCGTGGCAACCTCGTGTGTTACAGAGTAGAACTGAGCTCCATAGAGTTTTCTTGGCTGTAATCTTTATGAAAGCAAATTTCCAGGCCTTCCTCCGCAGTGCTGCTGGGTGGGTTTGACGGACAACATTTCAGATGGTGGCCGAGAGCAAATGGTTTGTGATACCCAGGGACCTAGTTAGATCTAGAGGCCTGATTTTGTGGCAAGAATATTTCATAGATGGTTCTGAGTACTATTGTATCCCATCAGGAGGTGGATAATGTCTGGTGCCTCTCCTGTAATGTTAAGACGGATAAGTGGGTTCCAGAGTTGTCAGCCTTATCCATCATTACAATGTTCTCTTCAGTGTTTTACCTAATGACTTTAGCAGCTATTGAAGACCATGACTTACATCTATCATATCATTTAAAAAAAATGGTTGCGGTTGAGTTGACCCAGACTCATGGCGACCCTGTGTGTGTCAGAACAGAACTGTGCTCCATAGTGTTTTCAATGGCTGATTTTTCAGAAGTAAATCACCAGGCCTTTCTTCCAAGGCACCTCTGGGTGGACTCGACCCTCCAACCTTTCAGTTAGCAGCCAAGTGTGTGAAGCATGTTAACTGTTTGCATCACCCAGGGACTCCCATAGCAGAACTAGGAGTTACAAAACAGTGATTTTTCAAATTCTATCATTCCTCTGCATTTATGGGCTGGAATTCTCCTAAAGAATAATCTTCTTTCATCAGCTATTTGCTCAATGTGAAGTACAGCTCATACAGGAAAGGCAAGATAAATTATTTGCTTTAATCTTTTTATTTACCAGTTTTCAGAATGATGAGTTAGTGCTATGGAAAAGTCAAATGGGTTTTGCAATAGCACTAACTCCTCATTTTGAAAACTGGTAAATAAATGGAATAAAGCAAGAAATTTATCTTTGATATGTTTCAATCTACTGCAGTTTTTTAATGTGCAATTCACCCCATTCTTTAGCCAGTGGGTGCCCCATCAAGTTAGTTCCTATGAACCTTTGACTTGACTCCAGTACAACAAAATGTTCCAGGCCCTCCTTGCACATTTCCAGCCCCGTATGTGGCGTCAGCCATTTTCCCAAAGAGTCCTGTTCCTCTAGCATATAAATAAAAATATTTCATAATACATGGAGAGAGAGAGGAAGATTGACTGTAAAGGAACTCTTTTGGCCCTTGGGGCCCCAGTGCCTGAGGTCCTGAGGGAGCTGGAGTCAAGGATTCCGGCTTGAGGTGCATCTCTACTCTTCCACCAGAAGACTTGCCACCAGAAAAAAATTATATTTCTCTTTGTTTCTTCCATTCCTTCTTGCTTTTTCAGAATGGAAGCAACTTCCTTTTTTTTTCTTATTATAAAATATGTGAAAGTCCTCTATGATCCTAACCCTCAGAGATAAGCATTATTATCAATTTGAAGTTGTTTTACATGGACTTTTTTCTTTGCCCATGTAAGGGGACAGAGATGGCTATAGGTAAGGAAATCCTTTTCTTTCTACAAGGAAAAAAAAAAAAAAAAAAAAAAGGAATCATACTACCCACACTCTTCTCTGAGCTGCTTTCTTCATTAACAATAGATTCCTTTTAACATCTGCAAGGTGCCCATTTATTTAACAAACCCTTTCTTAATGACCATTAGGGTTAATCTGGGATTTAATTCAATTCAATGCAATAAGTATTTCTTTTGTGCCATGCACTAAGCAAGGCACTGTAAAAACTGCAAGATAACTGGGACAGGCCCTGGGTGACACTTTCAGTAGCTTGTTGTTGTTGATAGTTGCTGTTCAGTTGACTCTGAGTCATGGCGACCTTACGTAAAACAGAACAAAATGTTGCCAGGTCCTGCAGGTCCTACTCAAACATACCAACGATCATGAACAATCTTCTTTGAGTCCATTGCTCCGGCTATTGTGTCAATCCATTTCATCCAGAGTGTCCCTCATTTTCCTTGGCTATCTGCTTTACCAAACATGATGTCCTTTTCTAGCAATTGGTCTTTCCTGATGATGCGGCCCAAGTAAGGGAGTCGAAGTGTCACCATCCTGTCTTCTAAGGAGCATTCTGGGTGTATGTCTCCTAAGATTGATTTGTTCATTCTTCTGGAAGTCCATAGTGTATTCAATATTCTTCACCAACAACACAGTTCTTGCATCAATTCTTCTTCTGTCTTCCTTTTTCATTATCCAACTTGCGTACTCATATGAGATACAGGCAGTCCCTGGGTTACAAACATCTGACTTAAGTACAACCCATAGTTATGAACCAACCCCCAGAAAGCCTATTATATTAAAAATTCAAGGTACATACAATGGCTTGTACCAACAAATGGGCGCTACTTTGGGTCATGCATCAAAACATTATTATTATTATTACTGTATCATTATGTTAAAGATGTTTCAGTGATCTCAAAGTGCTTCTTTAATGTTTTTTATGCATAGAAAGATATTCTATATACTACTAAGACAAACTTTGACTAACTGACGTTAGATACAAACGGTACCTAACTGTTCCAACTAATGTGTAAATTCAACTTAAAGACAGATTTTTTTACTGCCATAGTTTAAATGAAGTTTACATTTCAAGTTAGTCTCCCATACAAAAATTTATACATACATTGTTATGTGACCCTAATTGCTCTCCTCATACTGGGATAGCACACTCCTCCTTTCCACCCCTGAATCCCCATGTCCATTCAACCAGCTCCTAACCCTCGCTACCTTCCCATCTTACCTCCAGACAGAGGCTGCCCGTTTAGTCTCTTGTATCTACTTGAGCTAACAGGCACACTCCTCACGAGTATCCCTTTATGTCCCACAGTCCAGTCCAATCCCTGTCTGAAGAGTTGGCCTCAGAAATTGTTTTAGTTCTGGGCTGATAGAGAATCCAGAGGCCACACTTTCTGTGGTTCCTCCAGTCTCAGTCAGACCATTAAGTCTGGTCTTCTTACTAGAATTTGAGTTTTGCACCCCACCTTTCCCCTGCTCCATCAGGGACTCTCTGTTGTGTTCCCTGTCTGGGTGGTCATTGGTGGTAGCCAGGCACCACGTAGTTCTGGTAAAGACAGATTTAGGAACAGAACTTGTTCATAATCCAAGGACTGCCTGTAACTGATAAAGACTATGGCTTAGGTCAGGAGCACCTTAGCCATTAAAGTGACATCTTTGCTTTTTAAAACTTTGAAGAGATCTTTTGTAGCAGATTTGCCCAACCCAATACATCATTTGATCTCCTGACTGCTGCTTTCACAGATGTTGATTGTTAATCCAAGTAAAATGAAATCCTTGACAACTTTAATCTTTTCTCCATTTATCATGATGTCGTTTATCGGTCGAGCAGTAAGGGTCACAAAAAACACACTAGGATTAAAGTCAAATGACCTAGATTAATGTCTGTGCTCTGCCCCTCATCATCTGGTGACTCGGGGAAGATTACTTTATGCCTCTGAGACACCCACCTCATAGAGCTGTTGAGAAATGCCAGTCAGCTTACTTGGATGGAAGCACTGGTTCATGTTAGCTTCCCTTCCCCTTTGAATATTATGGTCAAAGTAGATAACAGAACAGCCTGGTACAAACTATCAAAGCAATACAGCAGAGTGTTTAAAAACATAGGCTCTGGATTAGTCAGGCCTGGGCTTGGTTCTGGGCATCACCTCTCACCAGTTGTGGGACCTCTGCATCTCAGTGTCCCTATCTGTAAAGTGGGGATAATAATAGTTACTACCTAGTGAGATTATTGTTAGGATTCAATGACATAATACACGTGTGGATACACTTAACTAGCTTATATGTCTGTGCTCACGAGACCTTCCCTCAGCATAGGAAAAGCCCCTAAGAGGCATGTTCACCATGGGCAG